TTTCCTCCGTCATCTATTATCTTCTGAAGTTCAACATTTTTATTCTTCAACCTAAAATGGCTGAACCTTTCCTAAGAGGTGAGTTTAGTTTCACACGTCTGAAGCTGCTCCTTCTCTTAATTGGCCATTTCTAACCCTTCACCTGTATAGCTTTCCCTGCTCAGGGCCCATGGCCAGATGGCAAATTTCCAGAACACTTATGTAATCCCTGAGATCTTGTGGGGACTCTGAAAACAGCCCAGGGCTCAGGGATAGGAGACTATAGGCTCCTTATGCCCCTCAAAGAGCTTTGGATGGGGGCAGAATCATATGGGCAACAAGGGTTTCTTTAATCCCCTCATGCACACAATGATACTAATGATGTTTTTGAACATTTATGTAATGTTTGCCTCTGCCTTATTCATGCAGTAGCTCATTCAATCCTCACATTAGCACTTTGAAGAAATTATTATTTTCTCTTTTTTATTGATGAGTTAAATGAAGCTCAGGGCAGAGAATCACTTGCCCCAGGTCCCCCAGCTAGCAGATGGTGGGGCTTGGATTTAAACTGGAGTCTGTCAGTTGTTATAGCTCTGATGCCATGGCTCTAAGATGCTCTGCTCTATACTCAGCTACATGCACTTTTCAGTCTGTGTTCCAATTAACCTGCTGCTGCTAACTACTCAGAATATTCTTCTGCAGTTTGCTACCTTTGCTCCCCATAGATGCTTTTTCCGAATCAAGGTAATTTAGGAAAGCTAGACATTTTTATGAAGAAAAATAAAGGAGGAAGCACAATATAGTTTTGAGGGATGGTTAGGTGAGTGTGTTTAGACAAGGTAGGATGTTCCATAACATATGTTTTGCTAACCAGTAGGAAAATATTGACTGCTTTTATTTTTAATATTATTTTTAATGCTTTTAAAGGAAAATAAAAAAGAAGTCAAATCTGTTACATATTACCACATATACAAAGGGTAATGAATGTATTAAATCTACTCAGTATAATTATCACAACTTGAAAATACTTTATTCACTAGCTACAAACATTATATACATTTATTTCTTATGTACACAGAATTTTTGCCAAGCTATTTTACAACACACAGTTACTGAATTTGTTCAGAACTATTGGACATTATTCTCCATTCCTGCTTGGCCCGAAGGAAAATATTACAACCTGGCCAGTGTCATGCTTGAATTTTCTTAACTTTTGGCACACGGACAAAAATAAGTGGGAACTCAAATTGTTACTGGTAAATGTGAGAAATTGTTATAATTTTCCTGCCTTTGTATTTGATGGAGTAAGTTACCAGACACTAATCAGAAGTTTTCTGATGAAATTCTGCATTAACAAAAATCAAATTCAAATTCTGAGCTAGGCAGCATTGATTTTTCACATTTATTTTGTTCTTCTGAGGTATGATACTAAGCTTCTTGGCATTCTTCTGTGTGCATTGTAAGGGTGGAGTTCACTTTGAAATGCATAGGATCTCTGTTTATAAGAGACTGGCAGGATCTGGAAAAGAATATGAATTTGGCTGCTGGGTCAGAAATGTCATTGTCATGAAGTTGGGAGATAAAAAAAATGCAGCAGCATACTGAGCTTGTTAAAAAAAATAAAAGATGTTTGATTGGATTCTATAGTAATCATGTTTGCTTTAATTTTTTCCCATGCAGGGAATTTCAAAAACACTTTGTCCAGATGCAAAATAATGAAAATACAATGTTTATTATTTTTGTCTTTAAAAACAGTATTTAAAATGGTGCAAGGTTTTTTGAGTCTTTTAGAATTCTCTCAAAATAGTTTGTATTTTCCTGCTGTTGATCTAAGTACAAAAACACCTAGGATGTTTTGACCATCTGCCTGGTATTTCCAGCCACTGTTTGCCTACAAACAGTGAAAAAGATTCACAGTGAACTTGAACATCAGAGGGTAGAGTGAATTTTGGAGGCAAATTCTTCCAAACCCTGACAAATATGAAAATAATGGCATAGCTTTATTTAACATGACTCCTACTAAAGCTGGTTTCCATGTGTATCATTCTACAGTTCTCAGTGTCACAATTCAGACCAAAGGACTAAAATCTTATCTCTTTCATTTTTTCGTATTGTATTCATTCATTTTATTATTATTACTTTTCAAATTTTTGAACCTAAAGTATTCTGTTTCATGAGGTCTTGGTTTAAGAGTCATGAGTATTGAGTAAATGATGTCAGTTTTCCCTAAAAAGTATTAAAGATACTCTCTGGACCTCAGGTATTTGCATCATGCCAGAAGGATGATACTTGGCAAGCAAAGCAACAACAACAAAAGGAATACAAACAAAACAGCTGATTGGAGCAATATTTTTCCTTAGATGTCCTGCTAAATTATACTGAGTTTCCGTAATGTGTGAAGGCAGGAGTTATGTTTTTCAGGTGTATTAAAGTATTTTTTTAACATCGTTATTGGAGTATAATTGCTTTACAATGGTGTGTTAGTTTCTGCTGTATAACGAAGTGAATCGGCTATATGCATACATATATCCCCATATCTCCTCCCTCTTGTGTCTCCCTCCCACCCTCCCTATCCCACCCCTCTAGGTGGTCACAAACCACTGAGCTGGTCTCCCTGTGCTATGCGGCTGCTTCCCACTAGCTATCTGTTTTACATTTGGTAGTGTATATATGTCAATGCTACTCTCTCACTTCATCCCAGCTTACCCTTCCCCCTGCCTGTGTCCTCAAGTCCATTCGCGACGTCTGCGTCTTTATTCCTGTCCTAAAAGGCAACCCTCAGAATGGGAGAAAATATTTACAAGTGAAGCAACTGACAAAGGATTAATCTCCAAATTTTACAAGCAGCTCATGCAGCTCAATATCAAAAAAACAAACAACCCAATCCAAAAATGGGCAGAAGACCTAAATAGACATTTCTCCAACGAAGATATACAGATTGCCAACAAACACATGTGAGAATGCTCAACATCACTAATCATTAGAGAAATGCAAATCAAAACTACAATGAGGTTATAACCTCACACCAATCAGAATGGCCATGTCAAAAAATCTACAAACAATAAATGCTGGAGAGGGTGTAGAGAAAAGGGAACCCTCTGCACTGTTGGTGGGAATGTAAATTGATACAGCCACTATGGAGAACAGTATGGAGGTTCCTTAAAAAACTAAAAATAGAACTACCGTACGACCCAGTATTAATGTATTTTGGTGAGGGATGACTACATCGATTTGGGGGGCCAGACTTCACATTCCTATTCTACAGCTGAATATGGTCCCATGTATCTAGAACGCTCATTAATGCTAGTCCCACAATCATTTATAAATTAAAGAAGAAGAAATATTTGCTTTAAAATATTAGGCTTTTTCTTGACACTTTCACATTATATGATAAGCATTTACATATTTTGGAATGAACACTTAAAAACATATTCAACAATTAGGTAGTAAATGATAATACATTTGCTTATCTAAAGCATGCATACAAGCTTCACAGGCTTTATTGAACTGTTTGTGGCAACTCTGTAAAGGCCACTACTATTTCAGCATTCAATTTTGAATTTAATACTTTGAAGTTCTTACATACCTTAAACAGACTGTATGTGTCTGCACACTTGCATGTGTGTGTATGTATGTATGTGCATCTACTTGTTTGTTGGTATAATCAGAAGAAATTCAGCTTAAACACATATGATGAGGGGTGTGTAGACTTTTTTAACACCTTGTAACACTTTAAATATTTCTGACTTCAGGTCCAAAACAGGGGGTAGGATTGGAAAATTTGATGTTGTAGGAGCAATAGACCGTGATATTCTCTTGAAATAATTGCTTTTATCTTGTTCTTAAAAAAACCCAGGAGGTTCTGTATTGATGGAGACATAAAAATCCAGTAAAGTGTTATAGGTAATTATTTTAGCTGGATAGCTTTAAAAATCTGACTATTTTAAAGGAGAAGTCTGTACTATACAACCACATTCTCAGGAGGTTTCTGCTTTCTTGAGCAGGAGTGTCAGTATCCCTAATTCAAGAAAAGATGGTTTATAAGCACTGAGGTCTGGAAGATAAATTCTACGCTTAATGGTGTACCTTGTTTTGTTATGGGTTTCAGAAATGTGTCAGTATATTTTTGCTTGTAGTAAAACAGATGCTTCTTTAGGACCATTAGCTCATTTCTTTCTGGAGAAATTTCTGAATTATCTAAGCAGACAAAAGGAAGGGTCTCTCTGTGGAAAGGTGTATATTATTCTCGTTCGCCTGGTATTAGTTCACATTTATCCAAGTATGGTCCAGCTTTCTACTCTAACAGTTGATTCAGCTTTCTACGTCTTACTTGATTTACCTATAGGTACTAATATACATATAGGCAGTACATAAACTTTTTGTCCTAAGGCTTTGCATCTGAATATATTTTCTGATACTTTCCCCTAGTCCTTACTCTTTTTTTCAGTGGGGGAAGGGGAGAGAATAAGGGCACTGTACAAGTATTAAGTTGACATCCACCTTAAACTTTTTCCTTGGGTTATGGAGGAGAAACACATTTCCCTTTGGAGCTAGTAGATGTTCTTGTCTGCTGTCATAACTATGAATTACTATATTTAATTCTTGCCTAAAAATTGGTAGTCAGGGGCTTCCCTGGTGGCGCAGTGGCTAAGAGTCCGCCTGCCGATGCAGGGGACACGGGTTCGTGCCCCGGTCCGGGAAGACCCCACATGCCGCGGAGCGGCAGGGCCCGTGAGCCATGGCCGCTGAGCCTGCGCGTCCGGAGCCTGTGCTCCGCAACGGGAGAGGCCACAACAGTGAGAGGCCCGGGTACCACAAAAAAAAAATAAAAAAATAAAAAGAAAATTGGTAGTCAGAGATTCTTCCCTTCTCCATTAGAAAGCATCTTTAGTGTTTTGTAATCTACCTATCTTTTAAAAATTTTTAAAAATATTTGTGAAAAATAAAATAGGGAGGATCAGAAGGATTTACTTTGTCATTTTAAGGCCCTAACTTTGTTTCTTAGCTTTTGGCGCTTTAATATATGTAATGGTCAAAAGGTAAATAATTATTTTTTTTTCTTTTGAAGCCACTTTCCCAGATAAAAATGTAAAGAAAATAATATGTACAGATGCCTAATAATTTGATTAGATTTCTTTTTCAGTTACATTTCTTGGAGAAAATCTTTAAATCTCAAAAAAATTTTATTCCACAGAATTAGTTCTCTTTTGCAAAGATTTTCATTAACTTTTACTCCTGGAGGTTAAGTTTCCATCATTCTAATGGTAAAATTAGTCATATAACTTTTTTTCTGTTTTATAGCTATAGATGAAAACGTATCATTTTATATAGGTTTTGTTTTAATTCATTCACATAATTATATTTTAAAGGTTCTTTAATCTTTTGGGAAAATCATATGTCACCTTAGTGTCACAAATGTATATTGCAGTTTTTCAGTGAGAAAAATGGAACATTCTACATGTATTTTTCAGTATATTTTTCTGTTACATATAATAATTCAGTTTTCAAAGAATAAATTTAAAGGCCATTTTACTTTTGAGGGGGCAAATATCTGAATAGTGTCTTTGTTATACTTATATGCTATCTTTCTCAGTTGAAACATAGTTGCCTAAAAATTGCCCTTCTGTTTTCAGAGAGTATGTAGGACAGGGCTGACCGACAATCAGGAGGGTGTGGGCCTATGGTGGCACCATGATGGCGTCACCCTACTCTTTCAGCTGAGGAAATGGATTTAGGAATATTCATCCACAGAAGTATAGGGTGAGCTTATGAAACTTGAAGTGGTGGAGGCAGATTTGGAATTCCGGCGGGAGCAGCCGTTGAAGCTTGGGTCTCTTGGAGGCACTCTCTTCTTCCGACTGGATTTGGTCTTATCCACATCATTTGGGTCAAACACCACTGTCATGGACTCCATCCTGGTCACAGTGTACAGGCTGCTTTGCCGAGTCGGGTGAAACCTGGTGGTCTTGAGCTCCAGCTCATCATAGCTAGAAACTTTGATGAAAGGACACCAGCGGAATGCTCTCTTGAAGCCAGCTCGAAATCTGAGGAGAAGCAGGCCATGGGAAGAAAAAGTCATGTTTTCAAGTGGAAATTTCCTTCAACTGGTGCAGAAAGCCCTACTTAATGCAGTTAAGCCAACTCAGTTTTTTAATTTAATTTTCTAGTCAAACTCTTAGAATTTATGCCACGGTATTGGTACTAGTCTTCTACGTTCTTCTTGTTTGAATTGAATCTTAATTTTCCATCAATGAGAAGCAAGCTCATCATATAGTAAAAGCACAGTATCACTAATCAATATGCCGAAGAAACAGTGTATGTTTCTTTAATAATTTTATACATTTACATAAGTGAATTAAGTTTGCTGGGTAAGGCAATTAAAAATGACATTTCAAAATAGCTTCTTACAGAAATAATTACACATTTATAAAGTCTCATTTAATATTAAAATTAATTGCTCATCTGGATGGTTTTTATCTAATCATATATGAAAGTGCAAAATCCTTGGCTTTGTAAACCATTAAATGAAGTTGATTAAAAACAGATGTACTGCTTATGGGGAGGTTTGAATTGATATATGGCTTATGCACTTACTGAAAAAAAGGAAGAATTTAGTAGTTTTTAAGAAACTTGAGGAACTGTGTGGTAGAGGTCCAACTGGAAAGCGAGCTTAGGATTTAGGTCATGTAGTTACTTCCATGAAATTCAGTTTCTGCTTGTGCTAAACCATATTGGTTTATTAAGGAAATTATTGACCCCATGAAACTTAACCCTTCTCCTCCATGTGCTGACCTTACAGCTAAGGTGTTTTTTATCTGGAAACCACAGTTTACCTTTTTTTTCCCCAGTCTTAAATTGAACTGTGAATATTTCTACTTTTCTTTCCAACTTCACTTTAAAAAATAGCGCCCCCTCCACCAGAGGCTGCACCCTGTCTAACTCGCTGACCTCATTATGCTGGAATGAGGATTGTCATTCTTTTCCTTAGTGTTGCTTCTGTTGCTCTCACAACACCTTCTATTTTGAAGTCTATTTACAAGACATCCTTTTTAATAGAGTCCACTCACATATGCCATCATCGTTCCGTCTGTGCATTTCTACGAAGTGCCTTCATTTCTTCGAGGACTTGAGCACATTTTCAACTCTCCTCCTTTAATAACAGGGCATTTCTTTGTCTTTGGCAAGTATAATTCTAAAGGGTTTGGAGAGAGAATTTGGCCTATATAAAACCCACCCAGGTAGAATCCCTAAAAGCATTGTTTTGAGGAGGTAATTGTTAAGGTGAGCTATTTCATTAAATAGGGAGGAGTCTAGAAAAATATCTAGCTCTGTGCTCCTCTCAGTGAATTTTTCAATTTTCCCTTCCTTTTGAATTTTAAATGTGCATCAGGGAGCTGGAACAGCATTATATGCTTTCACTGAAGCCAGAAGTGAAAAGGAGCTTGCATTTGGTGGTCTTGTGTTTACCTCTTATTCAGACAGCAGTAGATGATGGGGTTGTACATGGTTGAGCTCATTGCCAGCCAAAAGCTAGCCAGGTAGACCTGCTGAATATATTTCCACCTATTTAGTTGTTGATAGATCGCGGTGAGGATGAAGTAAATATGATAGGGCAGCCAGCAGATGGCAAATGTCACCACGACAATAATCATCATTTTTACAACCTGGGAAGACAGAAAGAGGTCATTTTTGGCAAATATAAAAGCCATTGTATCTATTAGTTCTAATAGACTACTGCAAATCATATTTTTCTGCCAATACAGTTAAATACATAGCGTGCCTCAGAAATAGTCAATATATTAAAAAATGGCAAGGTAATATAAGGATAGTTACCTAAGGTAAGTTTCAAGAAAGCGTGCTTGTGTCACCTAGTGAATGGGTGACAATCACTCAAACAGAACCAAATATATTTTAATTGGCTTGAAGAAAATACCTGTTTATAAAACATCAAAAAGCCTGGGGGAGAAAGAAGCAAGAGCTAGGATTTGGCTGTGCTAGCCTGAACTGTAAAATAGTGAAGACATTATATCTAGAGAACTGACTGTTGAGTCACAGTGGAGGTATATCAGGCTGTAGTGGCTGAGTGTGTTCTTCAGTATTTATTATAGCCTGAGTATAGGTTATGGCTATTTAGATTTCTTTACTCTAATACCATTCTCACTGGGAAACTGTCTGAATGTTACCTTGGTTTCTTTTCTAATCTGATATTGGTAAAGGTTTCTCTGGATAGTGAAAAAGGATATTCACATTAGTTTGAGAAAATATCACTACTTTTAAATTTGTGAGTAGGCAATTGGCTTATACAACTGGTTTATATACCAATTTCTTTGAGTTTGGTAAGCATGGGTCATTTCCTCTGTTCTACACTTTTGAACCACAATATGCTGGAAAGCTCTAGTCAAAGTAGAATGTCAATCTCTATTTCTCCTCCATTAGTCTTTAAATTCCTAAAAGACATTGAGAATGTCTTAATTATATTAACGTCCCCAGCATCTAGCACAGTCTCTAGTGTATTGCTGGAGATAGATAATTAGATATAAAATGAATGAATAATGAACGACAATGTACAATTCGTAACAGGAAGTTGAATGGGAGGATGTTTTGTGTGTCTGTAAGTAAGCTAAAATCTGTTCCATTGTGTCTATAAGAAAGGTAGACTCAAAGTTATCGAACACCGTGAGCAGCTTCACTTTCTATGTGAAAAGAAATAATAAAAACAACATCCTCAGATAACCTCATTTAATATTTCTCATTACCAAGCTGCCGAGTAAATTTGTTCATACTTCTTTTGGGAATTTGTAAAAAGTTTAGAATAATAAATAAAATAATTTTGAGGCTTAACCACAGTCACAGAACACCAATCAGAGAAAGTCCTGATGTAAACAGCCTATGTAGCATCTTGAAGCTATGAAAGTACATTATTTAAGTACTGGACTCATTATTTGATTGCAAGTTGGGATTCAGATGAAAGTTGACAAGATTAAAAATCATGAGAGACATGATTCTAGAAATAGACAAGGCATGAAATGGATCAATGTGGAAGGCAAAGCTTTCCCAAGGGCCTAATGGCGGTTAGCATCCAGGTATTTAGCATTAACTGATGGTAATTGGCCATCAGAGCTGAAAATCCAGGTCAGTAGCTCACAGAATGTCATCACTGGCCCCGCCATGCAGTGTTTTGATTTTCTCAATGTTCTGTCAATTGCATTTTTTTTCTGAATACCTGTGTTCAGAATTCTGCGTTTTATCTCTCCTATTTTTTACTCATATATTTGTAGAATACAAGTAAGGAGTCTATTTGATTATAATTTTACATTTATACAATGTTTCACACATCTAACAACTTATTAATTGGTTTTCAATTGCACTTTAGGAAGCTGAGACAAAGACCAAAAGATTTGATGACTGTGATTCATGGAATCTAAGTTAAAATTTTTAAAACTCAGCCTCTTAAGTCTGTTTTTTCTGCTTTCAATTAATAAGATTTATTGAATGTCTATTGGGTCTAAAAAACATAATAGAGAAAAATAATGAGTAGAGAACCAATTCCTTATCCTGAAGAAGATTATAATGTAATGAAAAATGTAAATTAAAACTGCATAATAATGGGGATGCAAACGTGTAAATAAATTGAAAGTATTTATGAGAACTTACTAGTTTATTATAAGCAGGAATGAAACTTACTAGTTTATTATAAGCAGGAATGACTCAATGCATGTTACCTGTAGACTCAGGGAAGTTTAGACTGAATGACATGGATTTGGTTGATTTTTTTCATTCTTCAATATGTGAACATCCTATTGTTCCTTGAACATTGTACACAAGCTCCTGTCCAAGATTATTCTCCCTGGCTTCTCCCTCTCCTTCTTCCCCCAGTTATTCTCACTGGCTAGCAACCTCATCTCATTCAAACCTTTGCACAGTTGTCACTTTTTCGGTGAATCATTTTCTGACCAGCCTATTTGAAATCGCAATCTGTCTTTCCAGCACCCCAAACCCCTTAGCTTGCTCTTTACTTTCAGTCGGTTGTGTTTATTCTTTACTTTGTGTCTCCTTATGCTAGAACACAAAAAAAGCAAGCATGTTCTGCTTGTTTTCTTTACCTATGTATTTCAGGCATGTAGACTGGATTTCACACGTAATTGGTGTTCAGAGTTTTGAAAAATAAGTAAATGAAACTGAATACAAAAGCTAAAAGACTTTTAGTTGGCTAAGTGATGTTCACAGTTTTACTCTGTCATGAATCACTGGTATCATTTGTCCTCCAACTTTAAAATGAACATGTGTATATAAAACTATTTCCCTTTTGTAGGCAAACAAATTCAGGTAAAGCATGTTAGTGCACAAACAGTATTACCGATATATTATTTTGGATGCGTGAAAGCATTGCATTTCGTTCTGAATAAATGTTAAGGGTAAGAAAAATATTTATGACAATGTGAACATGGTACAAGCTACTGTGTTAAATACAGAATCAGCAAATGTACATAAAAGCTTATTTAATTGCTTTTATACAGACTAACCAGTTTCCCTTTGCATGAAACTGTTTTTCAATAGCTGAAGAGCTGCAAAGGCTATCAGAGTCTTGTAATGTGACTTCCTACCATCAATGTGGAAGAAGTCTGGAATGTGGGAAAATTAAAGTGCATGTGTAGAAACAGAGTATCAGATAACTTATAATTCACATATACATGGCCTTAAGGACCCTGTTGCAAAACATTTAGAAACCTATTTGAAGATTTTTAGGAAAAATCTAAAAGAACCTAAAAGAAAGGATCTTTTATCGTGAAACAACAGCTATATTTTATTGATTTATTGCTCTCAAATACATTTGAACCATTACCTTGGGTCTCTGCTCATAAAATCTTCTGGAATGATTTCATATATCAAACTTTCAGGCCCCCAGGTTTGATGTAAATGCAAAAGTATGCTCCTGGGTGGACAAAATTGCCTTGCTTTGTGAAATGCTGAAATCAAGAAATTGTAATCGTCTTCCTCATAAAAAGGCAAGGGAAAGAGCACTTTGAAGCACAAACCTTGAGCAATGATAGATGTGCAACTGCTCAGTTCCCCTGTGTCTCATGGCTGGACAATGGTACTAGCTCAGACAGGCTACATATGCTAAGCAGGAAAGTTGGTGGACTTTCTGAAACTCCTGATACGTTTTAGGCAAGATAAGAGACTGGGATAGAGATGACTCAAATCTTTCACCGTGCCTTAACAAATTTTATTGTAACTTGATACAAAGATTGATCGATGTTGGGTATTTCTTGAAGCTGAAAGACATATCCAGCTTCTGAGGCGATTGGATTTACTCTCCATGGCAACATGGATAGCTGTGGCCATCCATTGTCCTTGGCACAGGGACTTACCAGTTGAGAAAGAAGGGAGGTGGGACAAGGGAGGTAGCTCTTATAGCAACATTGCCTCTTCTTAATAGTTTAGAATCCACTTTACTCGTACATAGGCAGGATGGAAATGCATGTCATAAGTTAGTGAGAATAAGCTTTGGGCACCTTTTCTTCAGGTATCAGGGAAAAAAAATCTTTGGCTTTTTATCCTGTACAGGTTAGACTGGAATGCCTGGAGCTGTTCTTATCTATCATATTAAATTAATGCAGGATGGATGATTTTGAGGTTTTAAGTTGTAAGAGAAAAAAGAATCAGTCTAGGAAATTAATTTGCCAGTCTAGGAAATATTGCCAACCTTAAAAAAATCTAGGAATTATATTCTTCAAGGGGGAATTTATTCTTTTTAAATGTCTGAATTGGAAATGGCCAACTGTATGTGAGAAGGAACTTCTTGTTTTGATTAAAACCTCAGAGCATGTCTTGAAGAACCATCCCATGGACTATATACCCTACCACTTCTCTGTACCTTTTATCTGCACAAATATTCTTAAATAACCATTATATCTCCTTAGGTCAAAATTACAGGCCTGCTTATTCTGACTTCATAATAGCAAATTAAAATAATATTCTCAAGAGTAAGGTATGGAAAAAAATTAATGACAAGCATCAAAATCTAAAGTACTACTTCTTGGACTATTTAGGTTGGGCTTTTGCTGCTTCAGTTTAAAAGAACATGCTTAAAAACTTCAGTCCCAAGGGAGAAAAAGAGAACTAAGTAGTAACACTTGTGAAAAAAGTTCAGGATAGTCCAGAAGACGAGTTGAATTTTGCCAGTAATTTCATAATTAGATGTGATTATAGGTGTATTTTGTTAGTGTCATCCAAGAAATTTGACACTGTTGCCAAATCCAACTAGCATGACTATACAATTAACATTAGCTTAGAGCAATGCCTGTAAGGAATTATGTCAAGGTGAAACAAATGAGAAAACCCTATGTGTATATACATGGAATGTGGAAAATATTTCCATGTGTGTGTGTGCAGTATTGTGTTTGGATTCTACTTCTTTACACTTCATTGGTCATGCTTCATTTTTAATGTAATTTCACTTGTCCACTGGAAACTTAGAATTTTAAAGTATTGTAAGATTTCAGGTTTATGATGATCTGAAGACATAAAAAGGAATGCAGCCAGCAGCCACAAAAAGGAAGACAGGAGGACATTAGAATAAGAAGTCCATTAAGGCAAGAGGAAATAAAGTTTGATGTTATGGGATCATGGTTAAAGATAAAAACTTATAGAGGCTTATTAT